ACTGCTCCATGAATGCATATAGTCTGAAATATCTGAAGCAGTATTCAATGCTTTCTTACAAGAAAAGCAAGAATAGACTTAAAATTACAACTTTTTTTAAAGCTACAAATTAGGGAAGATGATGTGCAAAGAGAATGAGGGTATTGTTTTTCAATAGATTATGGTGTCCAATATGCTCAGATGTCAAAATATTTCATAATACAGAAGTTAACTGAGACATTTAAATATGATAAAATTATGATCATAATAAAGTGTTTAAAAACTCAGATAAAGCTTGTAGAGGAGAATTTATTTATAAGAAACCTTATAAAAGCTTAAGTTTTCAGAATTTAAAACAATAAAAAGTGATTTTTCAAATAATAATCCACTGCTTTCTAGGGAAACTGCTTCCTGTACCAGAAAGATGACAATGAAGAAAATAAGCATGAATACTTTACTTAACATTAAAAAAGAAACTGTGCTATGAAATGTCAGATAAAACAATATTAACAACCATATTCGTATTAACATTTAAAGCTATAATTATACATTAATATAAATTTAACCTTATGTAAGAATTTAGAAGCCGTAGGTTTGATTAATATGAAATAAAGTCATAGTGAGATTTATGCTTCATGTAGCATTTTATTATAATTTTCTCTTTTAGAGTTATTATATTATTATATTAAAGCATATAAAATTTGTAGTCAGCATAGCAAGCTTCAAATCATTTTAGTTAATTGGCAAGTATGGTGGAGCATGAAGCATCACTCTCTTCTGGTAGTTTCATTTTAAACAAATTATGCTCACATATAAAAATAGCAAACTGCATTAAATTTGATATAAGACATTTTACAGCTTCTCATATAGGAACAGCTATAAGCAGCCTTCATGCAATATACCAGAACAGGCAGCTTTGAGTAAACTCTCTGGCAAGATAGCATTCATAGCGATGTAAGACACAGCCTCTAATGACTTAATGCTGAAAATATACCAAAAGAAGTTACAGGTTTAAAAAAATAGCACAAAACTATCCAAAAGTTTGAGTATTAAGTCCTGATATTCTTTATTGTCTCTATGCTAAAAGAAGGAAACATTTGAGTTATTTCTCTTAGTTCTGATTAATTCTTGCCAAAAAGTCTTGATTCTTCTAAAACTCCAACTATAGATGGACTACTTTATTCACATTTTCTAAAATGAAGTAAAGATGATAGCAGTGACTAGTCAGAGAAATATCATTACTCAACATTGCTATTTTTATTTAATAATTGTTCATTTATTTTAAATATCAATTTTAACCTCTAGTTTAAGGTACAAAGATGTTTTCTGTCTAATCTGTCATAAAGTCACTTTTAAAAGATTAAAACAGTCGGGGATGTAGCTCAGTGAAGCTGTGCCTGCCTGGCAAGCACAAGGTCCTGAGTTTGATCCCCAGCACTAAAAAAAAAAAAAGCTTGAAACAGCTATAAAATACAGTAGACATGTTTTTAACAGATGCATTTCTGGGTCTTGACATATAGATATGCACTGACTGACTGACTGGGGAATCTCAGTCAGAAGGCATAGAAGTTTTAAAAATCCATCCTTCCTTTTCTTTATCTAATAAATTTCCCAAAGAGGAAAACAGTTCGACAAATGGGTAAAATTTGTCTAATTAGATATGTACATGTTATATTCTATAGCAAAATACAAAAGTATTATACCAGAAGAGTTGTGGGAAGTGAGAAATTCCCTATTAAGATTTGAAAATCAGGGCACAAACTGCAGAATATTTTTTTTTAACAGTAGTTAATTGTGCCACAAAGGAGAAAAAAATTTTGAAAAAAATCAAATTTATCAAAATAATGGTTTTCTACAGTCCTTAAGAAAATATCTTACCGTCTAAATTCTTCTATTTTCAAACTATGTAACATCCAGATCATTATTCAAAGAACTTGTAACAGCATGCCATCATTATCACTGCTTGAAGTAATGTAAAATAAAACCTAGAATATCAAGATTCATTGCTCAAAATTAAAAGTATAGTGTATTTGTCTTATTTTTTTGAGAGAAGTGTATTAAGAAGAAATGCAATTCACACAAATATTTTACTGTCTTATAGATATAAAAGTTATCTAGCTGGAGATAATACTAATCACCAATGATTTATTAGTAGAGGCAATTTATTCCTCATCATTTTCCATTTTACTTAGGCACCTAGTCACTGTAACAAATAAATACAAATCTGGAAGTCATTTATGGCTTGTTTAGTGCCTCAAAGAAATTATATAATATCCAAAGACCAAAAACAACTTTTTTATAGAATTTCAATGGTTAGACATTGGCTGCGTAAAATACAAAAGGAAAGTATGCTGAACTTGAGGGGAATGAGAAAACTTATTTTTGAAACTCAGGAAAACAGCCACAGCATACTACTTATTCGCCGATCATATTACTGATTTTATATAATTAAATAAAATTAGTGGCCACAACGCCTTAATTCAAAAACTCTTCTTTATACGTTGACTACTTTATTCATATTTTCCAAAACAAAATAAGTTTGATGGTTAGCAGTGACTCAATTTCCTACAACAGCATTACAAAGTCATGCAATATATCTCTCACACAGTAGGTATTTAATAAACATTTTAAAATCACTATATGTAATCAAAGATATTGATCTGTAAAGAAATTTGATTATGTTTGTTGAGTTAACATATAGGAATCAGATTGTTTTAATTTGTCAGAAACATATGCTGTTGAACAACTATACAGTTTCACCCAGACACATGCTTTCCACATAAAAATAAACACCACATCTGTGGCACAATCAATAGCACAAAAGATGGTGTTTTATACACATACGAATTCTCCATTTTGCTTGTACAAAGTGTAAGTGTTGGTGATGTTCCAAAGGAGTCACATCATCGATAGCAAATGCTCAGATCTAAATAAGGGCTAAGCTTGTGTTAACAATTTAGTTTGAAATGTTAACAACCTTTAGGCTGTTAACATAACAACTGGCCATTAATGTGGTAATGACCAATTTAAGAGGAAACTGTACTCTCAGAAATGAATATATTAGCAATCAGGACCAGGGTTTATATTTGAAAGAGTAGAAAATATTTGCAATAAGTTAATTAGCATTAAAAGTTGGAACCTAGCAGAAATGAACTAAAAGCCATACCACAGAAAACAGCACACACTGTTAGTGATAGATGAGGACTTCTGATATGAAAACTAGTTTGATAAATTCCCTTCAGCAAAATACTTGAGACAATCAAATACCAGTTTTATATCATATTTTTATTACCCTCGGGAAGACTAAAACAACATAAGGTTGTTTCCCCTGCTCACCACTATATTGATAACTATAAAGCTATGTCTCTCATGATACAGTTATTTCATGGCAAATTTACATTTTTGACTTTAAAAATCTAGCAACTCCCTTTAAAACTTACTTAATTTAATCTCTTTTTTCTTTATTAAACTTAACTTTATTCAGACTATAAATTCCTTGTTTGGAATTGCAACATCAACCCACTTAAGATGCTGAAATTGTAAGCAAAGGTAAAAGTCAAAAGAAGTCAAAAAGTTGTGATTATTGCACATAAAGCAAGACTAGAGAGCAGTGTTAAATCATGAAACACAAATACAAATGCTTTATGTGGAAATGAGGCTCCAGTTCACAATGAGCAGGGGAAAAGTTTTTATTTCAAAGAGAAAAGTTCAAAGACTGGAGAGTTCTGAAAGAATTTGCATTATAAATTAACTCTGATTGATTAGTTGTGCCACCCTAATGAGGGAAATCCTGGCTGGTAAGAGGAGTCCCTTCCCATTGTTGGCACCCTGCATGCATTTTTTTCACTTGGAAGACAGAGAAGTAGTAACAAGTGGTCATAATTATTCAATAGACTGTCAGAAGAGGGAGTCCTAAGAGGGGGGCAGCACTGGATTCACCCTCTTGTAACTGCCATTAATCAAAAGATGTTTTATATAAAAAGATCAAATCTGAGTTTCGATAACTGAATTATAGACTAAGAAGGATCCAGTACCTTAGAAAACACCTCCCAGGATGACTAAGATGGTTAAGGAGTAACAGCTGATTGATAAATTTTGTGTCATAAGGGGAAAAATTCAAAATATATAGCTTAGTGTCAGACTGGAAAAATGATTAATTGTATCAAATATGAAACTGCAAATGATGCCATATATCATTTCTCTAATTTGATAGATCCTACTTTATTAATATAAGTAATTTGCAGCTGAATCAAGTCACCAAGTTCTCTGAGAAGCAAAATAATTTCTCTTCCGTAGAACTTCTGGGTTGAAGACGGTGAGAAGCAAGTTTGGCTGACTTCGTGGCTTCCTCATCAACAGCACCTGCATTATCTTGAAACTGAGGTTTACAGTTTGGAGCACAGCTATCACTGTTCCACAAGGATAGAGGTCGTTACTTTGTTATTATCCACTGGAACGTGTGAAGCTGCTCAAAGCTACATGAAATCTTTGCAATGACTGTTTCCAATATCATGGGGGAAGACATATTATTACTTGGGGAAAGTTTTTGAAAACTGAGCAATAAATGTATTATATTAGTAAGTGCCAGACAAACCCAAATCAGAATGCATAGCTAATAATTTTAGGAGGATATAAGGTCCAACTAAAGCCCAGCTTGGCAAAAATAGTTAAAATGTTTAGCCATTTCTTTGTGTTATTCTCACTCTAATCTATCTCTGATACTCTAATGAAAGACAAACAAACAAAAACTTGTATACTGATTTATACCAAATACCAGCAGTTTCAACATACGTGGTAAAATAACCAATTGTTGAATACGAGTTTGCATGCAAGCCAAACTGAAACAATTTGGGTCTTAGTTTTGGCAACTGGTCCTTAAGTAGTAATTTGGGTCACACACACAGGGCCACATCTTTCAGGAACACAAGCTGGTGGTGAGGAAATAGAACAAGCAGAGATACATTTACAAATGTATGTTAAAAGGTATCCAGTCATCACTGGTGTGCAAGGGTAATTCCTACCTCAGATAGTCTCTGCGACAAAGGATAAGATTAGCTTTCGTGTACAGGGTGGAGCCCACCTCTCCCAAACGACAGTCACAGCAGGCACACTTCAGGCAGTCTTCATGCCAATATTTGTCCAGTGCCTTTAGAAGATACCGGTCCTTAATCTTTCGGTTGCAGCCAGCACAACCTTTCGGCTTGGTGTCTGGCTGGACTGAGAGCATTTGTATACCTGAAGGAAGACAACAACAAAACGAGAGCGCTGAGACCACAAGACAGAATGGAAAGATGTCAAAAGACCTCAAAGAAGTTAAATATTTAATAATCGCCTTTTCCTAGGAGCGCTGGATTTTCCTTCTTAGGGATGGATGCCCTGAAATCACAGTAAATTTTGGAAGCAGAGTCTCAAACTATAAAATCCTTACTAAATCACTGGTAAAGTTACACATATAAAGTGGTGAGAAGAATGAATTCATGTTGCATATGGTAAGTTGACATTCTAGCCGTACAGTTAAATAACATTAAATTATTTTATAGCATCCCCGTTCTCCATATAAAGAAGGAAGAAAAATGAACAAATTGCTAACACTCTGAAAAGAAACCTATTTAACAAAGTAATCATACTCCTTCTAAAGGAGTCAAAAGTAAGTTTTGCTTAACTGGTTAAAAATTTCACTTCATATGTGCTTGACGGTGGAAGAAAAGTACACCCTGTATGGGATTACAGGAACCTCACTGAGCAGCACAGATGTTTATAATTAAGTGCACAGCACAGCCCCCCCCCCGCCCCCCCAAAGCTTAGCAAACCTCTATGGCTTGTTTGCATTCAAAGACTTCCTTATGTGTCCTAGATATTTCAAAGTATTCATTATGTTAAAATAACAAAACATATTTATACTCACCATCATCAGTCAATGCCTTTATTAATGGCTCATTACTTAACTATACACTATAAGCTTTTATATGAAGCTAAAGTACAGGATTATACAATTTATTGCTGTAAGCATGCACTTATTATTTTACAGGGGAAAGATGAAAGAATAGAAGTCTAGTGCAATATAAATAAAATTATCCAATCACATATAAATATATACAGAAGGTATATAACACTATGAGATGTAGGGACAATAATATTTGTAAGCTGTATCTCTGTCATACATAAGGAGTCTAGCCAGGTTCTATGTTTTATAACTTGAGTGAAATTATTTCAGTGGATATTTGCCTTTGATTTTCTTCTTATTTTCTAAGTGTCAAACACTCAGCTTTAAAAAAAAAAAAAGCTGGCTCAACTATTCAAAGCTTCATCTTTATCAAATAACTCGTTCTAAGCACTATAAAATACTGCAGACATCATCAATTCCAAATTCCCTCATTTTCCAAATTATAATGTGGAGCCCCAGAGATTTTAAGGCACTGCCTCAAAGCTGAATGACATTTAAGTGTGGATTTGGGGCCAAGTGGCCTTCTTACAATCCAGAGATCCCTCTGGTCTACTCTGCTGCTTCTCCTAGGCATAAAGTTTTAAACTTGGATGTAAAAGGATATAAAACACCAAACATGCCTGCATCTGAAAGAGTTTCAAGGAAAGAAACACCAAACTATCACTGTCTACATTTGCTGTGCATTTCTCCTCTCCACATAGCTAGCTCCTTGTTTCCTCTGATACTCTGGGATGAAGTCTTCTCCCTCATTAGCTTCACAGCCTTCTTTTTCAAAATGAACCCAATAAAAGGTACTGAGGGATCCCGGAAGCTGAAGAACTTTCTAAGCTACAAATAATTCATGAGTTGTATATAATAGTATTAGGATGTTGAACTTTCATTCGAAAATAACTTGTCTGGCAGAGTGGTGGAGGGGAGAACGGCAGGAAAGGAAGCAGGATGCTGTTCCTTCAGCCTAGTATGCATCTCTGGGGTCTTCCGGGCTGCAGAGTAGCAGCTGGATTTGCACAGAAGAGCAGGTGGTATCCCTGTAGCCTGTTTTCTGTGCCTTTTCTTTGAAGGAGCTAAGGGCCTAGTGTAGATTAATCATAACCCTTGATAGCGCTGCTAAATCTCACTTTCTAGAACTTCTAACAAATGAAGTTTCTTTGATCAGAACTAGTTATCCTTTTCTAGCAAGGTTCCACAAGGACTGAATCCCATTGATTACAGGGCACAACTGACTCAAGAGCCTCTTCTCTAGAAATCTAGGGAAGAGGAGGAAATTTTGCTTTTCCAAATGACATTCTGGATTTCATTTTTAACAACACCCAGAGCGATAGTAAGAGCAGCCACTCTAATTATCTAATGTATAAGATTGTTATTTTTTAAATCACCAGACTAACAGAAAAATGTTAAGAAAATCCTTCTTAGTAACAGCTAAGCTATAGCTATGGAAGTAGTCAAGCTATTCCCTATAGCTGTGTTACTCTTACCAAATGTAGAAGGTTAGCTATCTTTATTCAAAATGCTTTGCAACTAAAACAGGCCATACCAACATTTGGCACCAGTAACGCTACCCTGCTTGTCTTCGCAAAATGGTTTTTGTTGTGTTGACATTTTAATTTAACACTCAGAGGCCAATTAATATTTGAAACTCTTACATTCTGTTTGGCCTTAGGCGTCTAAAAGGAGTTTAATATTTTACACTCCACCCTCTATCTTCTTTTAGAGACTAGCATCACATTTCTCTTGGAAATGGAATCTGTGCCATGCTATGCAAGTTAACAGTTGCAGAAAAAGAGCTATTTTGTAGTCATCACATTGCCCTATACCTAAAAGGCAGAAAGCAGTCAGTGGCCGCCTGTCATCAGCCAGAGGAACATGTCTGGGTAGAGTTATGTGTGCGTAGCTGAGAAACATTTCACAAGTTGCTCACAGCACATCAGCACTCATAACTAGTTTTAGATTGGCATGTAAATTGTTCTGAGGGAAATTCTTATTGCCTCTGAGACCCTGCCATTCTGAGTTATTTGACAGTTTAAGGGAAATCATAATTAAAAAAAAGACATAAATAATAGCCTGTGCAGTGTGGTGTGCAGAAATAAGTAGAACCATTTCATTTAAACTCTGGTGAGCTTTTAATTGCCTGGATTGCATTGTGAGGCGGCCTAACGGTTGACTGCCTCCATTATGTTCCCTTGTTCTGGGCCATTCATCCGCACACTTGAAGCTTCAGTAGTTAACACAACAAAGTAACCACAACTCCACAACACAGAGGGGGTTTAAACATAATAATAATAATAATAATAATAATAATAATAATAACAACAACAACAACAATAAAAGATCTGCGGTACTTCGACACAGTCTTTTATATTTTTGAACTAACTACACAGAGTGAATGGAAAACATTTTGTCCCTGTGGGAAGATCCACAGAGGACAATTTGGGAGAAGGCACAGGAAGAGGGATCCATAAAAGAGACTGTGAGAGAGATGAGGTGACTCCAAAAGATGCTAAAATGGGAATGCAGGTTCTGCAGCTGGGAGCAGTGGCACAGATTAAAAGAATTTGGCCAACACAGCCATTCGATTGCCAAGAGGTACCAAACAAAAGATTTTCTCTCCTCCTGCCCATCTTCTTCCTCCCACCACCCCCCAACCCCCCTGCAGCCAGATTGGAAAACTGGATTGGGCCTAAAAGCTTGTTTCTGTTCACTGGCCCAAAGCATCCCTAGAGGCTGCAGCCCCCTAAGGGACAACAATGCAAATAGATGTCCCCAGATCTTTGGCACTGGGGCTGCTTAACTCTGTTCTGCCCCTTCAACTCCCAGCCCCCCTCCCTGTCCT